ACAACAAATACACATCTATCAACAAGTGAATATAAAAATCAAGTGAATAAATAATCTGATGAACAGAATAAACTAGTGAATATAATAGAATCGGGCAGAGAAAGGGAGTGGACTGACTATTCTTGCGGGGAAAGGGGTGTGGGGGGTGCGGGAAGAGACTGGGCAAAAATCGTACACCTATGGATGAGGACAGTGGGGGGGTAAGGGCAGAGGGTGGGGTGGGAACTGGGTGGAGGGCAGCTATGGGGGGAAAAAGAGGAACAATTGTAATAATCTGAACAATAAAGATTTATTTTAAAAAAAAGAAATGAGCGAAGAGTTCACCTTTTTAAAAGAATGTTTTTATTGATTTTAGAAAGAGAGAAAGGGGGAAGGGTTGATAGGGACATCATCCATTATCTGTCCCCTGCACTTCCCCTATTTGGGATTGAGCCTGCAACCTGGGCATGTGCCCTGATGAGCGACTTCTTGGTTCATGGTTTGGTGCTCAACCATGGAACCATACCAATTGGGCAAGAGATCACTTTTTATGTTAGTGACAGTAGTTTCACAGTGAGGTGAACAGAGTCTCTAGGAGTCTCCTTACCTATTGCTGAGTATGGGATAAAATAAGTAAGAGGCAATGTGGACATGTGTTAGTCCAGCTCTTAACTATAGCTAATTCTATTTCCCAGTTAAATTATTTTCTAATATCACATCCATATGTATTGAGTATTGCTTATGAAGAGATGATGGGGGCCAAGAAGACATTTAAACACTGAAGACCTGCTGTAAGAGCAAGAGATCGGAAGAGAGAAATACTGATCTCCTTTGAGAGAACTAACAGTGTCTTTTAAATCAGGGAGATCTACTTTGGATACTATGAGGATGACCATAAAGGAAATGTTAATTTGAGTTGAGATTGTGTGCTGCCTGAATTGTATGCTAATAGTTACATCATTCCTAGGATAATACATCACCTTCTTCTTATGATTATTATCCCAATGGCAGTTGATCAAATCATTTTAACTGCATTGATATTTGCAGTAACATGGATTGGGTTACATGAATTTCATGTCTTTTCCTACTTAGATTTGGTTTAAAAACCAGAGAGCAAAACTGAGAGCATTGGGAATTGAACCGTCCTCAGGGAAAGACCACACTCAGGAGCAGCACCAGCATCAGCCTTGGACTCAAGGTAAGAATCCACAGATCCAAAGGAATTTCTTCAGTGGGTCCCATTGAGAGCAAAAACGATTCTGCATGTTGTGTTCAAATTCTCCACAAAATGTCCTTATCTTAGGACCTAGTTACAGCTTGTTCTAGGAACCCTAGAGTCAGAAATATAAGCATGGTCCGGCAGTTGGCTGGGACAGGCAAGTTCTCAGCAAGCAAATCTCTGGGCCTTTTGGCCCTGCTCCTCTAAGCCTGGTGTCACCTCAGGGGGATTCAGAGAGAGTAAGTATAATCAACATGGTCTTCTCAAACTTGAGTTTCCAGAGCAAATGTGAAAACTGTCCTAGAAGCTGCCAGTAAAGGCCAGACATCCATCACAAGTTCTCAATCAAACATCCTAGTTCAAGCCTTTGACAGAAACCAATTACCTAATACTGCAACCAGGAAAATATTGGCTGAACGAACAGGCATTCAGGAATCAAGAATTCAAGTAAGTTCTATGTCTGTGGCACTAAATACCTCCTATGATATTGCCCCTCAAAGACTGCTGGAAAAGGGTTGCCCTATCTTGAGTTATCAGTCATCAAGGGACAAAGATAATGGATGGTAAAGACCTGGCATTGTAAGTCAGATTCCTACAAAAGGAAGCATTTTTGCATCATATTGTCAGTGTTGTGTCCATTTAAAATCACCAGCAATCTGGCTGACGTGGCTCAGTGGTTGAGCATCAACCAAGAACCAGAAGGTCACAGTTCGATTCCCAGTCAGGGCACATGCCCGGGTTGCAGGCTCAATCTCCAGTGTGGGGAGTGCAAGAGGCAGCTGATCAATGATTCTCTCTTATCATTAATGTTTCTCTCCCTCTCCCTTCCTGTCTGAAACCAATAAAAATATGTTTCAAATAATTTTTAAAAATAAAATAAGATCAGCAGCAAAAATGTGGGAAAATGTTGTAATTAAAGGGAGGATTCTAGAGCATATGCCTTTTCAGCCAGTTTCAATTCATCTGTTGTTGAGTGTGCTATGACCTTAATTTATGTGTATGTTTGTGTATATACACATGCATATGCATACACACATACACATACTGAACACATTTCACGTATGTGTGTGTGTGTATATATATATACATATATATATAGACATTTCACGTATGTGTGTGTGTGTATATATATATATATTCATCCTGATATTAGGGCCTATGTTAATATCGCCTTTGCTTTACACAGTATGAGAAATGGTGCCAGAATTGCTTAACTTATGATGTCCATGTCTCCTCCTTTCCTTCCATACATGTGGTTTCAGAACCAAAGATCTCCTCACCCAGGGCAGAGCAGAAGTAAGCCTGTGAATTCCTTGGTAGAGGGCCCAAATGGGACACGAGATCTGATAGTTCAGCAGCACCAAATCAACCTGCCCATGCTCTCATGCGGGTCTCATTTTCCTTCCTCCAATGTTTTCAGCAATAACCAAACATCTCTACCTGCTCTACTCCCATCCCATGTGTCCTCTGTCCCTTCTGTGAGCCAAGGACCAATTGTCATGATGGTGCAGCCCATGCAGGCTGGGCAGGGAGGAGAGAACCCTCCCTCTACTTGGACACTTATAAACTACCTGCCAATACTGCTGACTCCAGGAGGGGGCCTCTCCAATGCTCACAATCTTTTCTGGCTCCAAAACCAAGAAAAATGCCAGAATCGCGAAGAACAGACTGCCACAGGAACACTACAGTTGAAGGACTATTCTCAGCCTCATCCTGACCACAAAAAACACAAGTTACAGGATCTGGATCAGATGGACATATCTTACATTGGGCAATGGTGGGATGAGTGGTGCCAGGCTTTGATTGCAGAATGGGACCCTCGGGAAGGGACACACTGAGCCACACAACACACAGCTCAGCTGGAGACCCATCTCATTCCCTCGGCTAATTGCACCAACAATATTTAGAAACCTCAAGCCTTTTTTTACTTTACTTTTTTGTTATTCCTCACCCAAGGATATTTTTCCATTGATTTTTAGAGACAGTGGAAGGGAGAGGGAGAGACAGAGAGAGAAAGACACATCGATTGGTTGCCTCCCATACACACCCCAACCAGGGCTGGGGATTGAGGCTGCAACTGAGGTATGAGGTACCAGCCCTTGACCGGTATTGAACCTGGGACCCTTCACTCCAAGGGCAGACATTTTATCCACTGAGTCAAACAAGCTAGGGCAAAACATCAAGTCTTTAGGTCAGTGATGGCGAACCTATGACACGCGTGTCAGAGGTGACACGTGAACTCATTTTTTTGGTTAATTTTTCTTTGTTAAATGGCATTTAAATATATAAAATAAATATCAAAAATATACATCTTTGTTTTACTATGGTTGCAAATATCAAAAAATTTCTATATGTGACACGGCACCAGAGTTAAGTTAGGGTTTTTCAAAATGCTGACACGCCGAGCTCAAAAGGTTCACCATCACTGCTTTAGGTCAACTCCTGCAATCCCCAAATTTTCAGGGAAAGGTACAAACTTTTCTGAGTACTGTTTCCACATGAAAAGGACACTCAAGGATTCCAGTTGTGCCTCAGTGAACATTTTCAGGCTCTTTTCCACGTGATGCAAAGCTCACTTTCAGGAGAAGGAAGACAACATCATTCTCATGGAACCTGGTCCAGGCCTCCTTTCTTTGGGGGACACTCAAGGATTCCAGTTGTGCATAAAAATATATTTTTTAAAAATAATAAACTATGAACTCATCCTGTTCAGGACCAGACTAATGAAAGGGCAGGAGAAACCACTTGGAAACCCAAATAAAAGTTCTACTCTGTTGTGGGCATGGGGATATGGGTGAGATACTCATACCTCCTGTTACACACCTGATAGTTCCTGATTGTTTCAGATTGGCTTCTCTCTCCTTTGGCTCTCAGCAGTTCACACTATTTTGCCATCTTTCACAGTCTTAACACAGATCTCTTTGCTCCATCCATTTTGCTCATGACCTAATAGTTCTAAAATGGAAGTACTTTATTGATTATCTAAATCATAAGCAAAAATAATAAAAATATCCAAAGCAATCTATAAATTCAATGCACTTCCCATTAAAATACCAACGGCATATTTCACAGACCTAGAACGAACCCTCCAAAAATTCATCTGGAATAAAAAAAGACCCCGAATAGCTGCAGCGATCCTGAGAAAGAACAAAGTAGGTGGGATCTCAATGCCAGATATCAAGCTGTATTACAAAGCCACTGTTCTCAAAACTGCCTGGTACTGGCACAAGAACAGACATATAGATCAGTGGAATAGAATAGAGAGTCCAGAAATTAGCCCAAACCAATATGCTCAATTAATATTTGACAAAGGAGGCAAGAACATACAATGGAGCCAAGATAGTCTCTTCAATAAATGGTGTTGGGAAAATTGGACAGATATATGCAAGAAAATGAAACTAGACCACCAACTTACACCATACACAAAAATAAACTCAAAATGGATAAAGGACTTAAATATACGACGGGAAACCATAAAAATACTAGAAGAATCCAAAGGCAACAAAATCTCAGACATATGCCAAAGCAATTTCTTCACTGATACAGCTCCTAGGGCAGTTGAAACTAAAGAGAAAATGAACAAATGGGACTACATCAAAATAAAAAGCTTCTGCACAGCAAAAGAAACCATCAACAAAACAACAAGAAAACCCACTGCGTGGGAAAACATATTTGCCAACGTCATATCTGATAAGGGCCTAATCTCCAAAATTTATAGGGAACTCATACAACTTAACAAAAAGAAGATAAACAATCCAATCAAAAAATGGGCAAAGGATCTAAATAGACACCTTTCAAAAGAGGACATTCAGAAAGCCAAGAGACATATGAAAACATGCTCAAAGTCACTAATCATCCGAGAGATGCAAATCAAAACAACAATGAGGTACCATCTCACACCTGTCAGAATGGCTATCATCAACAAATCAACAAACGACAAGTGCTGGAGAGGATGTGGAGAAAAAGGAACACTTGTGCACTGCTGGTGGGAATGCAGACTGGTGCAGCCACTATGGAAGACAGTATGGAGTTTCCTCAAAAAACAAAACATGGAACTCCCATTTGACCCTGTGATCCCACTTCTAGGAATATATCCCAAGAAACCAAAAACACCAATCAGAAAGGATATATGCACCCATATGTTCATAGCAGCACAATTCACCATAGCTAAGATCTGGAAACAGCCTAAGTGCCCATCAGTAGATGAATGGATTAGAAAACTGTGGTACATCTACACGATGGAATACTATGCTGCTGTAAAAAAGAAGGAACTCTTACAATTTGCAACGGCATGGATGGAGCTGGAGAGCATTATGCTAAGTGAAATAAGCCAGTCAATGAAGGAAAAATACCACATGATCTCACTCATTCATGGATAATAAAGACCATTACAAACTTTTGAACAATAATAGATACAGAGGCAGAGCTGCCTCAAACTGATTGTCAAACTGCAGTGGGAAGGCCAGAGAGGGTTGGGGGGCAGAAGGGAGGGGAGTAAGAGATCAACCGAAGGACTTGTATGCATGCATATAAGCAAAACCAATGGACATAAGACACTGGGGGATAGGGGAGGCCAGGGGATTGTCAAGGGCGGAGATAAAAAAGGACACATATATAATACCCTTTGTAATACTTTGAGCAATAAAAAAATTTAAAAAAATAAAAAAATATATAAAAAAAGATAAAATTATGAAAGACACTGGACATCAGGAAGCAGAGATTGATCTCTTACAGATAGTAAATAAATGACGTGAGTCCTATGATGGCTCCACATTCCTTGAGTTTCTAGGCCACAGCTTAGAGAGGCAGAGCCCAGGCAAAGACCAGCAGTCTCACTACTAGTATGTAGAGGAGAGGAAGCTAAGACACTGTGGAGAACAAGGTAGGTAAAGTTCTCAAGGCAGACAACCAGAGAGGAAAATGAGAGAATGAGAGGGAAATCCAGAATCCTGCACCCCACAAGAGTTATTCAAGGGATTACTGATCAGCTCGTGTGTGAATCCACTATTAGAAGCCAGGAAAGAAACCACTGAAAAGGATTCTTGATAACTGATACTCACATAGGGCCTGCAATAGCGACCTTTACTGTCAGACAGACCAGAAAACCTCTAGATGCACAGGCATTGAATAATTTACATGAAAGGGTCTTGCTGCAGTAGTGAGGAACAGTTAATTAACTATACCACATGGTATAACAGTATTTAGCCATGTACTATCACAGAGAACTGCTCTGCTTATTTCAATCAAAGTTTAAAAAAGACACCAAAGAATAATACTCTTTCCAAGCAACATAACAGTATCCAAAAAGGGAAAATATTTTTTGTAAAAAGAAAATGGATGGTGAAGAACACATGGGTTTTAATTAAAGACAGGATCAGTAGTAGGAGTGGCCGGCTGGCTGAAAGCAGGTATCTGGGGTTTGTTTAGCTTCTATAATTGAAACTCTGTTGCTTACGGAGCTGTTGCTTTCAGAGCTCAGAGCCGTGCCGCGGCAGGCGGGGAACCTTGGCTTCCTCTATCGCCGGGGCAACCAAGCCTCATGTTCGCTTCAGCTGCATGGCTGCCGGCCGCCATCTTGGTTGGCAGTTAATTTGCATATCACCCTGATTAGCCAATGGGAAGCATAGCGGAGGTATGGTTAATTACCATGTTTGTCTATTATTAGATAGGAAATTTTTGTGAATATAATCAAACATTTATTGAACACTCAAATACAAAGTTCCATTTATTTTCAATAACAAAAGCAACACAACAAAGAGGAATTAATTCACTAATTTTTAAGTCTAACACAACCTTATCACAAAATTGTCCTCAACAAATAGAAACACATTATTACTAGTAACCAAGTAAGACTATTCTTGAGACTCTTTAAACAAAACTGGGTGATAGGTAAAGAAACACGTTAGATGCTTGACTGACAAGGACTCAAAGAACAGCCAAGGAGCAGGGTCCCCAAATATTGTTAGCAAAGGAAACATGGGGTTTTCAAAGTAGTTGACAGATCCAAGTTAAACTTTTCCATTAACTGTCGGATGATCTTAGAAATCAGAGCTCACTGGGGGATGCAAAGGTTTGGGGTAATCCATGTTCAAGGTCTTGTAATGAAATCTTTCCATATTTCTAAATCCTTGACTTAGAATCTATCACAATCTAGAGGAGCTTCTGCCAAAGGACAGGAGGCTCTTTATTCACACTGCCTGAAAAGACCTGTCTTCCAATTTTCTTCCTTTAACTGGGTTATTAGTTCCTGTACAATAAGATACAGGTTCCATTCCAAAAAAAGATTACTATGTAGACCAACCTCTCTCTGGTTTATATTTTCCTTCAAGAAACACTGATACTGCCAGGGACAGCTCTAAATATATCCAATATCTTTTATTTTTATCCTACACAACTCTGCATAGCTACAAAATCTTGGACTCACAGAGCAATGACAACATTTGGTCAGAAGACATGTCAGTTCCAACATAAAAATCTCTGAAGTTCAATGGTCACAAAATACCACCTCATCTGCCACACCTCTTTTCTTTTCTCGTTATCCTGTCAATTATTTCTTTCGGAATTCAATTCTCCGAGCTACATTTTGAGCACCAAATTTTTTGACCAATGTATCTCGGGCATCCTCATCACCCTTTTGCAAATCTAAGTCATCCTGTCGGGACCAAATGGGATACCCATCAGCCCTCTGACCAGACTCTAAAAAGGAGGTGGTAGCCTCCACCTCACCACTATTTTTTAGGAAGGCCTGTGTAACTGTTGACAGATCCAAGTTAAACTTTTCCATTAACTGCCGGATGATCTTAATTGCAGCTCCCACTTCTGGTGGAGAAACTTTTCCTTCTTCTTCCTCATCAGGCTGTGTTTCTGAGTCTTCTTCAGGTGTGGGTGGATCATCATCACACATTGTTATGTGTATTTCAAAATCAGGGCTCTCCTCCACCTAGAGAAAGTGATAAATAAAACTAGTCTAATTACCCAGTTACACTTAGTCTTGGAATATCTGGTCTCTCCCAATTACCTTCTCCTTGCCCTTTTCACTCTAATCACACTGGACTTCCTCCAGTTTCTTTAATATGCCATGTTCCTTCTTACATTTGTCTTGAATGTGTGTCTGTGTATGTATATATACGTATTTATGTACATTTGTGATAGCAAGCTAAGAAAAATGTGTGTGCAGGTGGGGTGTGTGTGTGTACAAACGTGCATCTGTGTGTATGTATATGTATAATTATCTATGGTATCCCAAAAGAACATTAGAAGCTACACTGAACATGAAAAAAATATACGTATATGCATACACATGTGTATATTTTTGCACTAGATTATTTGGGGTATTTTTTGTTTTTAAGAATACTGTTCTTTTTATTTGTTTTATATATATTTTTATTTTTTTCAGAGAGGAAGGGAGAGAGAAAAACATCAATGATGAGAATCATTGATCAGCTGCTTTCTGTACACCCCAACTGGGGATCCAGCCCGCAAAAAGGCATGTGCCCTTGACCGGAATCAAACCTGGGACCCTTCAGTCTGCAGGCCGATGTTCTATCCATTGAGCCAAACCAGCTAGGGCAGCATTACATTATTTGTTAAAAATGACTTCATTCCCAAACTGTAAGCTCTACAAGGACAGAAATTATATCTGTTTTGCTTATCATTAATTCACCCCCACTACATACCAATGGCTGCACATAAGTAGTCAAAAAACATTGCTGTAGGCCCAGCTGGTTTGGCTCGGTGGATAGAGCGTCAGCCTACAGACTGAAGGGTCCTAGGTTCGATTCTGGTCAAGGACACATACCCAGGTTGTGGGCTCAACCCCCCAGTGGGGATGGTGCAGGAGGCAGCCAACTGATTCTCTCTCATCATTGGTGTTTCTAGCTGTCTCTCCCCCTCCCTTCTTCTCTGAAATCAATATAAAAACAAAACACACACACACACACAAACAACATTGCTATATTAGGGCCTCTAAACTATACTACATTTAGCCACATTATAAAATATGTTATGTGAGAAGAGACCTATGTAGGCCATGTTTGGGAGTTGTTGAGAGCATTTGGAAGTTTATGGAAAATTAACCTATGTAATATCAAATAATAAAACAAGCCGAAACCGGTTTGGCTCAGTGGATAGAGCGTCGGCCTGCGGACTGAAAGGTCCCAGGTTCGATTCCGGTCAAGGGCATGTACCTGGGTTGCGGGCACATCCCCAGTAGGAGATGTGCAGGAGGCAGCTGATCGATGTTTCTAACTCTCTATCTCTCTCCCTTCCTCTCTGTAAAAAATCAATAAAATAAAATAAAAAAAATAATAATAAAACCAAACTCAGATTACACAAGGCAACAATCCCTGAATTCTGCCAATTCTTGTGCATTCCTTCACTCACCAATTACAGAAACTTTAAATTATTTTCCTGATTTAGACTGAGGCCTAACCACTTTTTTGTGTGTTAATAAGAAAAGTTCATTTAAAAGACCCGTTTTCCTCCAGCCAGTGTGGCTAAATGGTTGAGCTTCGACCTATGAACCAGGTCACAGTTCAATTCCCAATCATGGCACATTGCCCAAATTGCGGGTTCAATCCCCAGTGAGGGGCGTGGAGGCAGCCAATCAGTGACTCTCTCTCATCAGTGCTGTCTCTATCTCTCTCTTCCTCTCCATTCCTTTCTGAAATCAATAAAAACATGTATTAAAAATAAATAAAATATCCTTTTTCTTAGAGAAGATATGCACATATAATTTGGAGTTTTTTTCAATTACTGCTCATTATTTTATGGCTCCTGCCTTACTCTATAATGATGATTAAATATGGGATTTCAACAGATTATTAGAAGTGGGACTGAATATGGAAGAGCTAAAATTTTCCTAAAAAGCTCTTAATACACAAAAAACAACTTGCTTGGTTAAGAAATTTAACTCTTTTTAAAATTATATTTATGTTCCTGAGAAGCATAAAAACATTTTTATAAAATGCTAACTGCAGGCAACCATTTACTGTCTTCACTAGCTGAGTATAGACAGAGACCCCCAAAAGCTAGTAACCTTTGAAAGTTCTAGCAAAGGTCAGGGCTGTGCACCACCCAGTTAATTTAGACACCACCCAGTTAGATAATGGTAGCTAACGCATTATCCCCACCTTAGCTCACTGAATTCCTTAGATATTTGTATAGATCCTTGTTGATTATTGTTGATCAAATACCCTGCCTATTCCTGGAAATTGTCTACAGATGAGCTAATCAGATACTCTGTCTATTCTTGGAAACTGTCTGCTGATCTGTGTGTCATTGAAATCCCCTTACCTAAGGCTACTCCAAGCTCAATAAAAGATTGGAGCAGCCTGAGCATCAGTGGAAGTCCTTCGGGACTTGCCTGCCTGGTCCCCCTATATTTCAAAATTATCTCGTGTCATTTTTCTCTCATTTGTGTGCAGCTCCTCTTTTCAGATCCCGAACCCTGATCCACGCAGGACGTGGAAGGAAACACACGACATCGGTCACCGACAGCTAACTTTGAAAAACTTAAACTGAGATCTAAGTACTAAAAATGGGATGTTTTATACTGTTTAAAAGGAATTTGCCCCAACTTTTCTACTTATCCCCCTCAAGCTTTCCTGTCAAAAAGCAAAAACTACATGCCTGGAACCTAGATCAGTCGCACTTTCCATTTCCCTCTTCCACCTTGAACTTCTCTTTTACCTTTCTGGGCACTGGGTATTGAAAGGGCGAGGGCTACGCCCTCCATCTTGCCCCGAATCCTCCATTTTTGGGCAGCAGCCATGTGCTCAGCAAGGAGCTTCTTCCCGGAAGCCCAAGCCTCTGCTAGCCACACCTAGGATTTCTTTAAACTAACCAATGATAATCAAGGGAAGTGCGCGCCATAGATATGACCACATCCTGTGTAACAAGACACCGACTTGCGTCTGGCCAATCGGCAGGGCCCACAGTCCTCTCTTCTCCCCTTACTCCAACCCCACTCTCAAATACCTCTACCCACAAAGCTCGCTCTCTCTCTGCCACTTTCCGCTGCGTCGGTAAGGAGGGTAGAGGAGCCAAGCCCGGGCTTGAATAAAGACTCTTATGCTTTTGCATCGGACACGGCTGGCTCCCTGGTGTGGTTTCTTGGGGATCCTGAAATCTGGGCATAACAGGTATATAAAAAGGATAGATGGGAGGACCAATTTCAAAGGAGAATGCAGATACAGAAAAAAATGAGTTAAATCTAGTTAACATACCACAACCTCCTCAAACCCCCGGGTGGCTTCTATAAGCATCTTTTTGACTGCTTCTTCATTCTCCTTGATCTCTTCCTTTACAAATTCTTCTTCCTCTTCTTCCTCCTCTTCCTCTTCTTCTTCAGGCAAGTCGGGAGTTCTCTTATTCTGTGGTTCTATTACAGAGAAGAACAGCACTAGATTAGAATGAGCCTCTTTTACAGAAAACAAAAATATAGTGCATGCTCTGTGAGCTCTAGACCAAAAGCGAGCCTGTACTTTTTTTTCCATTAGAAGACATCTGTTTTTTATCAGAAGGAGAAGAAAAACATAAGACATGCATATTTGATAATTTCTGCTCTTGCTTCTGAAAAATTGTACTATCCAAATGGTGGTAATTTTCCTAGGTCTTTATATGTAAAATAAAAATACTCTTCAAGCTTAATGCATTTTTTTGTCTTGTATTAATGGATTTTTCAAATTAACAAAACTGGAATAAACTGGGTTCTCTGGGAAGCAGATCCTGAGGTGGAGGTTACTATATAAGGTGTTTATCAGAGAGCATGCCTGGGAAAACACCCTCTGAAGTGAAGAAAGGAGGACAGGCAGAGAAAAATTGAGCTGTGAAAGAGTGCCAACAAGGCCTCATCTGAAGCTAGAAGGTCCTTCAGAGTTGACCCAGTTGCGGCAAGGGAGCCAAGACTTTAAAACTGTATATAGATCAGTCACTGGATACCAGCCGCTCTAAGATGATAGGACTTTAGGCAAGGCAGCTCTTCCAGCTGCTAAAGGCAGATCTGGGGGCTATACCACAATCTACCACATACTATCTACACAAAGGATAGATGGAACTATTTTTGTGATGGAACTATTCTATATCCTGATTTTTGGTGGTGGTTACACAAATCTATACATATTAAAACACATAACTGGGAAATGGTCCGACAGTTCCTCAAACTATTACACATAAAATTAACATATGCATGAGCAATTCCACTTCTGGGTTTTTGCTCCCCAAAAATGAAAGCAGGGTCTCAAACAGATTTTACTATATCCATATCCATAGCAGCATTATTCACAATAGCCATGAGACAGAAAAAACCCAAATATCCATCGATGGATAAACAAAAAGTGGTGTAGACATACAGTGGAATATTATTTAGCCTTAAAAATAAATGAAATTCTGACACAATACATTATTCTAAGTGAAATAACCAGGACAAATATTGTATGACTCCACTTATATAAAGTACCTAGAGAGACTAAATTCAGAGACAAAAAGTAAAATAGAGCTTGTCAGGGGCTGGGGGAGAGAGAAATAGGGAGTGTTTAATGGATACAGAGTTTCAGTTTTGGAATTATCAGTAAGTTCTGATATGGATGTACTTAATGCCACTGAACACTTAAAACCAGCTAAATGGTAAGTTTTATGTGATGTGCATTTTACCACAATAAAAAATAAATTTTGAAAATGCATAAACTTCCCAGACAGGGTGGCTCAGTGGTTGAGTGTCAATCTATGAACCAGGAGATCATGGTTTGATTCCCAGTCAGGGCACATGCCGAGGTTGCGGGCTCGATCCCCAGTGTGGAACGTGCAGGAGGCAGCCAATCAATGGTTCTTTCTCACCATTGATGTTTCTATCTCTCTCTCCCTGTCCCCTCCTCTCTGAAATCAATTAAAAATATATATTTTAAAAATGCATAAACTGTATACAAAAATAAGTCAATTTTCTTTTATATAAATTTTTAAATAGTAATTTTTAAAAAGCCTTATCTTTTGGAGATAATGCTGAAATAAATAAAATGCATGATGCCTGGCATTTACTTCAAAATAATACCAAAAATCTGCCTGGCTGGAGTGGCTCAGTTGGTTGAGCATCGTCCCATGCACTGAAGGGTTGCCAGTTCTATTCCCAGTCAGGGCACATACCTGGGTTGCTGGTTTGATCCCTAGTCAGAAAGTGTACAGAAGGCAATCAGCAACTGGTTAATGTTTCTCTCTTTCTCCCTTCCTCTAAGCATGTCCTCAGGTGAGGATATAATAAATAAATAAATAATCTCAAAAGTCTGGATTGAAAGAAATAGATGTAAAAAAAATGACCATGAACTATAATCACGTGAAGTTGGGCAATGGGTACATGCAGTATAGTTCATTATACTATTCTACTTTTATAAATGTTTGAAATTTTCTATAATAAAATGAACAAATTATAGTTCATTCACAAAATGGAATACAATGCAATCAATAAAGAATGAGTTGAAGCAACATAGACACAAAGACTTCAAGGTCTATCATTATTAAGTTAAAAAAAACACACTGCAGAACTGGTTTCTAGTATATACTAGTATTATCATGAGCAAAAAGTACACATAACAAGGACAATAGTAATGGCTGCCTCTGGGAGAGGAACCAGGGGAAGGGGTATATAGCAAGGAGACTTACTTTTCACTATTTGACCCTTTTGTGTTCTGTATATCTGTAGGATAAATTCCTAGAAGCAATATTGCCTAGGTTAAGGGAACAAGCAATTTAAACAATGCCCTTCAAATAAATTGTATCAATTTTCTTCTATTAACAATGTAAGAGTGTATCTGTTTGCATATACCTCACTAAGTTTGGATATTACTCATTTTGTTAATTTTTGCCAGTTTGATAGATAAAATATGACATTTCCTTGCTCTAGTTTACTTTAAACACACATACACACACTTATTATTTCATAGTTTCCATGGGTCAGAAAGTCCAGGCATGGCTTATTTGGTCCTCTGTTCAGGGTCTAGTTTATTTTTATTTAATAACAATATTTCTCCATTGTTTATGGCCATTTATTTCCTTTTCTGGAAACTTCTTGTTCCATTTCCTTTGCTCATTTTTCTACTAGTTTTTCTTTTTTGGTTACTAGCTTTTGCAAGCTCTTTGGACATTAAGGAAACTAACTCTGTTGCAATGTATTGGAAATATTTTTCCAGTTTGCCCTCCGACTTTATCATGAGATTTTATTTTTTAAAACATTAAAATATGTTTTTGTTGATTTTAGAGAGAGGAAGGGAGAGAGGTAGAGAGATAGAAACATCGATGAGAAACAATGATCTCCTGCATGTCCCTTATGGGGATTGAGTCCGCAACCCAGGCATGTGCCCTGACCAGGAATTGAACCAGGGACCTCTTGGTTCATGGGTCGTCGATCAATCACTGAGCTACATCTGCTGGAAAAAAGCTTTTAATTTTAAGTAATCAAATTTAGAAAATGTTTCCTTAGTCTTCTCAATTTTAGTATTATCTCCATGCTAATATTAAAAAGTATATTCACATTTTCTTAGTCACTTTAGGATTTTAATTTTTACATTTAAATGTCTGATCATCAAAATACTATTTTGAGTGGGTGAGTCAGCCTAATTTTGTCCCAAGTTGCAAATGGCTTGCCAGTAGTCCCAATATCACTGATTTAAAAGCAAGGTCCTAAATGATCTACTTCGCCCACACACCTAGCCCTGTCCTCTCCTAGAATGCTCCCTCTCGTTTACTCCATTCCAGCCACAGTGATTTCTTTGTTGCTCCAAGAAAATATTTCCACCTCAGGGCCTTTGCACTTATTCCCTCTATCTGAAACACTTCCTCAGATAACCACCTGGCTTACTCTCATTTCCTTTGGTGTCTGCTCAAATATCAGCTCATCATCGTGACCTTCCCTATAACCCTATGGAAAACAACCTCCTCCCCAACCTTTACCCTGATTTTTCTCTATAGCACTTACCACTTCCCAGCTAGCATGTTAAGCTCCATGACCACAGGGACTTTAACTTATTGTTACATCCCAGCAGGATAAGTGTCTGGCACCCAAATCTCTGTTGAATGAATAAATCTGAAATGTCACTTTTACCAAAAACAAAATTCTACAAAGCATACCAAAAGGAGAAATAGATTTTACCTCCCCAGACTTTAACTGTTACATAAGAAAAGGGAAGTAGAGAGAAAGCAAGCTTCTTTATTTTTTTAAAAAAATATATTTTATTGATTTTTTACAGAGTAGAAGGGAGAGGGACAGAGAGTCAGAAACATTGATGAGAGAGAAACATCGATCAGCTGCCTCCTGCACGTCCCCCACTGGGGAAGTGCCCGCAACCAAGGTACATGCCCTTGACTGGAATCGAACCTGGGACCCTTCAGTCCAAAGGCCGATGCTCTATCCACTGAGCCAAACCGGTTAGGACAAAAGCAAGCTTCTCTAAACAAATGGGTTTGTCAATCTAAGTTCCAATAGCCATTATTATGTAAAAAGTGAAGTACCTTAAAGCCTTTGCACTGAGCACTAACCAGGCCTGCGTCTCAACATGCAATTCACCTGCCTTAAAAACTCACTTCTTGGCTTAATGGATAGAGCGTGGACCTGCAGACTAAAGCGTCCCAGGTTCGATTCCAGTCATCGGCACATGCTGGGGTTGCGGGCTCGACCCCCAGTGGAGACCATGCAGGAGGCAGCCAATCAGTGATTCCCTCGCATCCTTGATATTTCTATCTCTTCCTCTTCCTTCCTCTCTGCAATCAATAAAAATATTTTTTTTTTAAATTCACTTCACCCATGAGACCAGGAAGCGACTTCCAATAGCCAAGAACCTTCTTACGTGGATACACATTCAATTAAGCCCAAACAGAACAATAAACTGATCTGGCTTGCCTTTAAAATGGTTTATACTGAATCTACCTGAACACAGGAGAAATATGTCCTCAAACTGGTGGTTGCCAGAGGCAGGGGAATGGGGTGGGGGTGGGGGGCAGGCAAAATAGGTAAGGGGGACTAAGAGGTACACATTTCCAGTTATAAGTCACAGGATGTAATGTACAGCACAGGGCAGGGATTTTCAACTTTTTCCATCTCATGGCACCCATAAGCTGATTAGTAAAATTCTGTGGCACACCAAAATATATATGTTTTTGCCCATCTTACCAAAGAAAGGTACAATTTTGATTCATTCACACTGCAGGGCTATTGTGTTAGCTGCTGTCATTTCATTACTTGACAATCTAAGGGAAACGAGGTCAGTGCCTCTGTCTAGTCAGGTATTGCACGTTGGTGAAAATTCTTGCAGCACACAGTTGAAAACCGCTGGCATACAGAATACAGTCGGCAACCTTGTATGGTGACTACATTCACGGTGATCATTTCGTAATGCAGACAAATACCTAATCACCATGCTGTACACCTGCAGCTAACATAACATTGTATGTCACCTATAATGCAATAACTAAATGATTAAAATAAAATAGGACGACTCTCTGAACTATCTCTGATAAAGTTTATACCCTCGAAGCTGGTTCCCCCGCTGCCTCTGGGGAAGAAAACTGGATAGCTTAACTGGTGAGTAGACAGAGAACATTTTCTAGATATACTACTTTTTTTTTAACACCCTTTGAATATTAAACCGTGGCAATATCCTAATTATTGAAAAAAGGAAATCGAAGAAATTAGAAAATGGTGTAATTTTACCCGGATGTCAAAGGGGGGAGGGGCCGGACGATGACACCAAAGCCGCCAAAAAGGACGCCAGACGGGAAGGGGATGGAGGGCCCGCCCCCACCAGCACCAGGACAGGCGGAGGGACCCGCACGGCCGCAGCACCAGGCCTCACCCCCGCTGTCGGCAGCCTCCGGGTCTTCCTCCGCTTTCCGCTTGAGTTTCTGGGAGGACGGGCTCACGGGGGCGTCCCCCAAAAGGTACTTGTGCTCCTGGCCCCGCAGGTGCTTTAAGTAGCGGTCCTTCAGGGACTGCCACGAGTGCGGAGTGAGCGCGCTTTTCTCCATCGCTTTCCACAAGGCGTTGCCCGTGACGGAGCTGGTCGAGCGGGCATGTTCCTTCACGTAGGTGAGGATGGCCACGTCGTCCGCGTCGGTGAAGGCGACTCGCCCCGTGAGCGGCGGC